GAACAGGTGGCACATATGCGGCAGCCTCCACCTCAGAAGCCAATCTGCGAAGCTAATCGAAATTTTAAACATTTGGTAGATTCGTGTTTGAAGTTATAATGGACCATTAAAGCGGTTTTATTATTTTGTGTTGCTGATATTCCCTGGATTGATAGATTAGTTGTTTTAATTAAGCTCTGAGGCATGAATACTAAAATTGCTGAGAGTTTTGGGATGCCATAAAGGGAACCGTGGACTGTTGTAGGTTAGGTAGAGACTAGGCTCATCTTTCGATTTGAAAGTAATCATGCTTGCCAGTTTTTTAGTACCTTCAGCACTTTATTGAACATTAAAAAGAGAGAAACTGAAGCTCGGGGAAGTAGCATGTTAAAAAGTCAAAATAAAATATATATAAAACAGTACTTACTTAATAAAAATAAACATTTGGCAGTGACTGAGTGCCTTTGGGGTTTTTTTTCTATTTCCATTTGGAATTCAGTGAAAGAAGCAGAAGGCAGTATTTAGTATTTAGCACCTCACTTGTTGCTCATTCCTGAAATGGGATTTCAGTAAATGATGCTATTTTAGGCTAATTTCTAGTTTCAACATGCAGGAAGTAATTAGTCGTCAGTGAAAGCATCCATATTTATGAGACTTTTTGGTTGTAGCTTGAGGGAAGAAGCAGGGCCCATATGGAATAGAAACAACAGAACAAACATACACTAAATGTTTTAGTTTCACGTGTATTTTATGTCTTATGAGAAATAAATGTCTCATACCATGATTTACTGATGAAAGAGTTCCAGTTTATGGAAGACCAAAGCTGCTTAAAAGAAAAACTAATTTATAAAATGCAGAATAAATTAAATATTATTTTTTAAAATTTCCTTCTGTATATTTATTCATCTATTAATAGTTATTTCTCTTTCATTTTACTTATTCATTTAATTTAATTTATTATTTTTAATTCATTACTTTATTCATTATTAATTCAAACTTTTTTATTTCAGTATTTTCATTTCTTGATTTCTTTATCTATGCCATGCGTCAGCATGCAAATATGGAGGCTCAAAGTGTGCCAAATCTGTCCCTAGTGGTTGACCAGCACCAACAGAAATGTTAATAAAATATTTTATGAAAATGAAAATAAATATATTTATATGAATTCTAATTATATGTTATATATTTTAGTGCATTTACTGGATTTTTTTTTTAAATATCAAACTATTTGTTATTTTTTATTTTGGCAGTTCTGGTCCTCCACACCCTTTTGCATTTTTTTATGCAACACAGTTATAAACAAACAGTATGCTGTGCAGGAAAAATGAGAAAGCAGCCACTTTCATGAGTAAATGATAGTATGCGGCATATAGTTTTTACAACATTTTCTTTTTCACATAGGGGATGAGTGGCTGAGTCTAGTGTGAATGTACCTGTGTTTCATGTGGATAATGAGTTATGTAAGCAATGCACTGTTGTGGTTTTGACTGTGACTGAGCCTGGAAAGTATGCCCTACCTGTAAAGAATGACAGATGGCGGCTATGAAATTGAGCATATACATTGAAATACATCACTTCATGGTTTCAGGCGAGCGTGTTTGCTTGAGTGTGACATGTTTGCAGAGGGGTGGGGAGTCTGAATGTTTTTAAAAAAAAAAAAGAGGGGCTGGGCTGGGCTCTCTTTTTCGCGTCTCTCTCCAGCCTAGAAGTGGAGTGTCTTTCTCCCCCTTCCCCCTCTCTACGAGCTGCTGGCCCTCGGTCAGGTAACAAAACAGGATAGTATCACAGGACGGTGAAACCCAAAGTGGCCCCGCCTGCCTCCATACGTCTGTATGTGAATGTGTGTGTCTGCGAGGCTCTCACCTGTACCTGTCATATATCCTATACCTTAACTTCTTTGTTCTCAGTGTGTTTGCCTGTTTGTTGCACTCCTCTAAACACACCCTTCCCTTGCGGCCACTCCTAACATCCTCTTGTCACACACATCCCAAACCCTCATATGTATGGTCTGTGTTTCTAGAGTCGTTGCTATGCCAACAGCCCACTTTCTGTGTCTTAGCTGTGGGAGAATCTGATCTGAGTCTACTCTGCCCCCCACTGGATACTGTAGACAACTGCAGGCTTAAATCATGTCAACCACATCAACCCCCATGGGGTCAGAGGGAAAAAGCATTGGCACCAAAATGTATCAGTTGTAGTAATGCCATCTGCCACATTTAATATTGCCTTGCTAGAAATTGAATAAACTGAAACCAATCACTTTCAATACACAATGAAATGTACGATCTGGAAGCGCTAACTGATCCGCAGGCCCAGACGTTTCTTTAAAGCAGCCTGGTTGCAGGGAGCAGAGGACCACCTCAGGTGCTGTAGAGCAAGCCTTATAGAGCGGCCATTCCCCTGACAGCAGTAGCTCTTACCTGAGAATGCACTGAACCCCTGAATGAAGCATGAAGGAGAATGAATAATTGAAGACGTTCACTCCCCCATCGATAGTTGGGAGGTGGAGGAGGAGGGAGGTGCCTTGCTTTACTTCAAGCCCTAAGAGTCTCCCTTTGCTTTAGACTTCTTGAGTAGATGCTCATGTTTTAGGTGTAGTGTTTTGCGCAGCTTTTTGATTCTCTCAAACTCATTGCCTGCAGTTTAGAGCCAGTGCAGAATAATAACAATAAAAGCAATAATAATCAGGCAATATGGAAATGCAAATACCTCCCTTGGCGACTAATACAACTAACAGCAATTCATAAGCATCCCCTTCCCTTCCTGAAATGGTTAACATCCCTCCTTCCCCCCCGTCTCACTCCGGTTCCTTTGCTGGTTGAAGTGATTGTTTGCTTGTCTTGTTTGCTCGCCTTTTCTGTCTGTCTATTTGTCAGTATATTTTCCTCTAGTTTTGTCCGTGTGTTCTGCAAAAATGTACACATTATTGCATTCAACATCAATTGTCATCCAAATTCGAAGCTTAGTGGGTCCAGAAAAACAAACAAACCAAAAAACATCCCTCGAAACAAACTTGGTGAAAAGCTCGACAGAGAATGCTGGCCGGACAGACAGACTTTCTATGGGCTCCTTGTCTACTGCCTGTTCAAGGCATTGCCTTCACTCTCCGAGTGACAACTACTTGCATATAACATATATGCACATGTAGCCAATGCCAGTTTGTGCTTTGGCCCCTGTGTCCCTGGTCCACACTTTTAGAGTGTTGCTAAATGGTTGAAAATTCAGGTTCGTCTTAAAATCAACTTTTATCATTTGTAGTTCTCAACTTAATTTCTATCAACACCCTCTTTTGTAACACTCTAAATGTGCTTTTCCTACTACTTGTTCCTTTTTGTGTTTTTGGTGGTATTATCATTTCGTGTGGTATATCGACTCCTTATTTCCCCTCTCTCTATATTTTTTGGTTCTTCTATCGATTATTTTGAGCTCTCCATGCAGAGAATAGTGCTTCTTGCTCTCTTTTTCCTGAAGATCAATTGTATTTATTGTCTTTTTCTTTTACTCTCTGTGTTCTCTCTCCTCTTTTTTAGCATGTATGCCCCTTTGTCTCCTGTTAAAGATATTACGTGTGCATAGCCTTCTTTTTTTGTCTCTTATTCTTTGATACTTATCAGACTGACCAAACTAAGCCTCTCTTGTGTTTCCAGGCTTTCCTTCCTTCATTCCCTATCTTTTCTTGCAGCTCTCTATTTCTCTTTAATGTGCTGGTGTTTGTTATTTTTTTCTCTTACTGTTCATACTATTAATACTTGCTATCTCTTCTAATACAGATAAATAATTTTCAGCTTGCTTTTTCTATTTCTCACGTTCCCTTTTGAACCTTCTGTCTTATCTGCAGTCCTTATGATTTCCATCCAGTGTTAGTGTGTGTGTCCTCTCTGTGTCTGCTCATTGCTTTCTCAGTGTTTCTGTTCTTGTTCTCCTTCTCGATTCACTGTTTGTTTGTTGGTGTTTCAGTGTTCAGCCTCTCCATGTGCCTTGACTAGTCATTTATCCAGTGCTGTTTGTCCAATGCGTCATGTTATGCAGGACTTTTGCATCTGACTCTCTTTTCTTGTGATATCTGTTCACACTTCCTTTAATCTTAAAATATTTACTCTCTTTAATTTTTTTTGTCTTCTTGTGCTAATTTCCTTTTTTTTGTCCACTTTGTGATTCTTGTTTTCTCGATGTATGAACATAGTGATTTTTCTCCCAGAATGTTTATCCCACATGTTGTTTTTTAAACAATACTCATGAGAAGGAACTAAACTTCACATCTATTAACATCTGTACCTAAGAACCAGCTGTTCCATGGCAGATTTCTGCACTCACCTTTGTTTTTATAAAACTTGTGATGTTGGTGCAACTGAGGGAAATTTAAACACGCAAAATACTTTACAAAGCCGTGTAATGTCTGTCCTGTTAAACATCTGGTCATCTTCATGTTGCTATATATGTCTGTCTACTGTTTTTAAAGTAACGTCATGTTGCTATATATGTCATTATACATGTGTGTCCTGTTAAAGTTGTCATTTGTTAGTTGTCAAAAGACTGAGCATAATTTCTACCAGGATGATTAATCGGATTGTGTCAATAAATTTAGTGATTCTGTTTTATGTTTTGTCTGAAAATGTCTTTGTTTTGGGTTTTTTTTTAGTGGAGGTAACTTTCTTGTAAAGATGTGGATGTTTGCCAGGGTGGAGCTCTCTATATATAGTCATCTCAGACTCCAGTTTTCCTCAAACACCACTTGCCGCATCAACTGTCCTCAGTTCTAGCGCCCGCCATTAATCTGTGGAATCTTTGGCACATTTTACTTGGCTTTGCTCATGAAAGCTACAGAAAAAGCATCTTGAAGTGACATCTATCCAAAGTTAACTTGGACCACCATCGGTTGTTCCAGATAGGCAGGTTTCAAGCGTTAAACAGGTGGAGGTTGGACTCCCTGGGTGCTCAGACATTCTCTCTTTCTGTAGATGAATTAGCTTCACATGTCCTCGCTGTCTTTTCTTGCTTTCAACGTGAGCTTTTCTTTGCAGAGGCAACAAGCCAGCCAACAGCCCCAAGGGCCAACCTCCTGATGCTGATGGCCACTCCTCTGTAACCGACCTGGCCAACTCTCTCACTGGAGACATGGTGATGGTAAGACAATGTCCCACTTCAAATCTATCTTGCTGTCTATGATATGATTGGTCTAACCTGACTTTTACTGTTTAGGCTGCTAATTTTCAGTGAAAGGAAGTAGATTATTTTTTCCACCAGGGCAAGTTAGCTGGTTTCTACTGAAGATGTAAAGAACTCCCATAGAAGCTGAAACAGCTGGCAATATTATTATTAATAATAATTATTGTACAAGCTCAATTTATATGGGACTGAGTGCCTGAAAATCATACTATAGAAAAACTATGTTGGGCAGTGCAAAAAAGTAGCCCATTTAACAGTGTCAGAAAAACACTACTGGTGTAAAAGTAAGCTATATCAGTCCATACACTAATAAGTAGGTTTTTCGCTGTTAGTTTGGGGCTTTTAAGTAAAGACCTAGATTGGATGGAATTTTAAAGGTGGATCCTTTGGTTTTTGCTTTGCTTTAAGGACTGGTAGTAGACAGTTTTCAGTTCATGTTACAGGCTTTCTATAAAAGTTGTAATCTGCAAGCACCATTTGAGAAAGGGATGCATTATCCCCTGTTCTACTTTCATAATTTTATTCTGTAAAATATCTTTGATCAGTTCACTGTCCAATCCATTCAATCCATATTTATCTTATATTAGACTTAGCACAGATCCTCATATTATCTAATGCCTAAAAGAAGCGGTTTCAGCTCCTCCCCCTTTAAGGCCAACCTCCCTTTAAGCTTTTTCAATTGGCTGTCTGATGCAAACCGAAGATATGAACAGCAGATGGATGAGGCTGCTGCGCTCGCAGTCAGAATTGTGTTGCTGAGATGGTTATATTATATTCTTACTGAAATTGTGCAAAGTAAGGAGTAAAAACATGCTCTGAAACCAAATCCATCCACTTATCCAACGTAAAGAGAGCAGTTATGTTACAAGTTTGGTTCAGCCACATTATGAGCAACCTGATCTTGGCATCCCAATTCTTGTTTTGTATTGAAGAGCCTCATTAGAGCTGTCACCTGCAAGAGTTTTAATGATGAATCAGAAAGCTGATATGAGTTCTACCTTATCGGTTCAAGTGAGTGTCTGACATCGTTAATAAAGATGTCCTTGAAGATTAAAGGAGTCTTCATGGTGTCTGTTGTTTTGAAATGAAAAATCCAAATTCTTTAATATTAGGGTGTCCAAGTACTTTTGGCCACATACCCAGAAGGTAATTCTCAGTCACCAGGTAGGGCACGTGTTGCAGTGCTATGGTAAATCCATACACAGGTTAATCTAAAGCTGGCAGTAAGGGAGCTGTAATAGAACAACATACAGGCAGTTCCTACAGTGACAATCAAACGAAACAGGCATGCAAGGTGACTCACGCTGTTTGATAAATTAGACTTGGAGAATTTCACACTTTCTCTGCTTGATAGTCCATAATGCCATATTGACATATTGCTGAGCGAGTCTCTGTCACTTTGAAATTGCAGCCCTGGTCTCGGGGAGCAAAATCAACAGTTTCAAATAATGCTCAGTGAGACTTTGCCTGCATAAGACAGCTTTACTTTTTGTTAGAGGCAACGGCTGCACATAGTGGCTTTAATAAACTGGTGGTTGTTTATCGCCACTCAGAGTTCTCAGAATTCTTTGTTCCAATTTATGTTATTGTTAGAAAGCGAGTGGGAACGGGAGAGGAAAAAATAAAGGACAGAGGCAGAAGGTGGAGCTGCAGGGAGAAAAGAAATGATTGTAAAGACAGCTGCAAGTGCAGAATGCCAACCTTGAGCTTTGCTTTCCTGCCTGTTCTCTCCAAGCCTCTCACACAATGCTCCCTCTCTCCTCCTCTTTCTGTTTGTCTCCCGCTCTCTGCTCCCCTCTCTCCGGCCGTTGCTTCCATCAGATAGTGGCCTTTTAGTGCACAGCAATGATAAAGCAGTCAGAGTGGCTGTGAGAGAGAATGGGTGGTCTAAAGCTCCCCTATCTCCAATCTGAGCACCTCCTGCCTCTTAAGAACATTAGTAAGGAAATTAAGCTCTCTCAGTCTTCTTAATGTCAGAACAATCCCTGCCTTTGAGCAGCTGCTTTAGCACACCGTGATAGAAACGCAGCCCTAAAATCTCCTCCCCTCACAGCTTCTCTCTGTCAAGGTCTGTGTGTGTGTGACACCAGATCTGTGCCCTTGGATTGAGAGTTTCATGTGAGTGGCTGCTGCTGCTGCTGAATATCTGAGCATTATAATTATTTGTCTGCTTTTGTTGCCCTGCAGCTGTCCCCAGGTTCGGAGGATGATGAAGGGCCCATCAGTGAAAAGCTGGGTCGGATCCAGTTCAGCATAGGCTACAGTTTCCAGAACACGACCCTCACGGTCAAAGTTCTCAGGGGCCAGGACCTCCCGGCCAAGGACTTCTCTGGCACCTCCGACCCCTTTGTTAAAATCTACCTACTGCCTGACAAAAAGCACAAGCTGGAGACCAAGGTCAAGAGGAAGAACCTCAACCCCCACTGGAACGAAACCTTCCTGTTTGAGGGTCTGTGTTTACATACTGGAATGTTCTCACTAAATATTTTCCATCACCTTTTCCAAATATGCTGCCATCTGTGGTTTGATTGGGACATCACTGCTTTCAGTTTGATAGCCTGAAAGAACAGAAAAAACTATAAATCTGTCATGTACAATAACCAAAAGTAGTAACACTTTTAATTGTGTGTTTATGTTAAATCACGTTGCTCATTTGTAAGAAGCTGAGTCAGATAACAAACAAAAGCTAATCAAATATAACCGTCATGGTCCTGGGTCTGTGACCCAGTGTTTATGTGTTTTTGGTTTAATTAATATTCTTTGATTTAGTTTTATTTATGATTCAGTTTTCATTGCTCTTCGTAGTCTAGTCATTTATATTTCTAGTTCTTAGGTTCTTGTTCATTTAATCTGTCCCCTTGAGAATAACACCCCCAAAAAATGGATAAAACAAACCAGAGCAAACAAGTTGGAACATGAAGTACGAGTCTGTATACACACTGGGAGTGACTCCTCAATAGGACACGACTGGGGACTGACCACAGCTGGAAAAGATGGTAAAGTATAACTAGCTTTCAAATTAAAACAGGAAATATTCAAAAGATGCAAAAAGCTAAATGAGATGCAAAAAGGGGGACAAAGGCACTAAAACATAGAAAGATTTGCAAGGCAAGACGGCGAAACATTGAGGTTGCTATAAACTTTGGGAGGAAAAGATAAAATCCAAACAGAAATTAAACCTAATCAACACAACAAACCAATGCTCAAAAACATCACAACAACCTGGGACCATGACATTTGAGGGGGATGAATTCTATAATCAAGGCTTTGGATAGCTGTAAACCAATTTAAATCAATAACTGAACATTTAGGGAGATTTGGTCATTTGCTTTCTTGCTGAGAATAATGCTAGAAGATTGAGACCACTTAATACTCACGCAGCCAGGAGCTGCTTCGCTTTGCATAAAGACCGAAAACAGGCACGAAGAGATAAATTCAAAAGCTCCATTTTAAAATGTAAAACTATTGCTTCAAGAATATGTGTCTTTTTTAAATAGTCACGGCAAAGGATTCAGATTGCGCAGTGCGATTACCGAGCTGTCACAAAGAGCTGTCTCTCAACACAAAAAGAGCATTGTGGGAGATGTGTGAAAACACATAACGTGTGAAACTGCAACAACATTTTTTTGCATTGATAAAAGCTCCAGCTTAAGAAACTGCGGAAACCATTCTGAGTCGAATAATAACGAATGCTCTTGAACACTGCAGAGGTTTCGTAGCAGTCGCGCAGATGGCAGTGAAGTGTCTCATTCCTGTATGATTTGAATTGCTTGTGAAATGGTAAAACAGCCAAAAGTAATGTTCAGAACCTTTTACAAAATCAGAACAATGGCCTGTGCTCTTGGAAAAATGAATGAGTTGGCTGTTTTTTTACTGGAGCCTAATATTACTTCTCAGCCAAAACCATCCCTCTTTGCACTGCTGCAGATTACACTGGCCTTCTTCCCTCTCTGTGGTTTAGCCCTCACCCTTCAGTGTTTTCTGTTTCTGTCTCTGTCTCTGTTTTAGGCTTCCCTTATGAGAAGGTGAGAGAGCGCACTCTCTACCTTCAGGTGTTGGACTATGACCGTTTCAGCAGGAATGACCCCATTGGAGAGGTGTCAGTCCCCCTTAATAAGGTGGAACTGGGCCAGTTAAAGACCTTCTGGAAGGAGCTGAAGCCCTGCAGTGATGGCAGTGTAAGGAAGGGAGGGGTGACCGCGGGGTCGAGCCGCGACGTGCGGTTTTATTAAAACACGTGTGACAAATTTGTTGACAGTTTTCAGCATGTGAGCTGGATTGACATATTTTTATTTTTGGCGGGTGAGCCACGTGCTCGCCCATGCCTGCTTGGGTGCTGGATGGTCTGTGTTTGGCACAAGGAGGTTAGAGCAGAAAGGGCAGTGATATAAGATTACACAACAAGCTAGTGAGTAGCCTGGAGTTTGATATTCCCTGATGAAATCTGATATTAGGCTGGGTGATTCATACTCCGCTGTGTTTGTTTGCGTGTGTGTGTGTGTGTGTGTGTTCCTCAGGGGAGACGAGGAGACCTGCTGGTGTCTCTCTGCTATAATCCCACCGCCAACACCATCACTGTGAACATCATCAAAGCACGCAATCTCAAAGCCATGGATATCGGGGGCACCTCAGGTATACACTCCCCTTTGTTTGTTTAGGCTCTCTTTCTCTAAGCATTTCTCAGCAGCTGGAAGTCCTTCCTTACTTTGGAAGCTCTGTGCTTCACACAAGGCTCTGTCTCTGTGTTCAAACACTCACTGACTCGTCTGCTAACAGGACGGTTGCTGGCCACCGTCGATAGCTACAGCAGCAAGGTGACATTACTTCAAGCGTCTCTCCATTGACCTCCCTCTTTCCTGTCCTCTCTTTCTGTATATCTATGAGGATCTTCAACCTCCTAGCCAAATCTGTGTCAGCTCAGTCTGGTTGCTGCTAGTTTTTAAAGTGTCCTGTCTCGCTGTGAAATGCTCTCTGTGGCATATTTCTTGTACAATTACAGCTTCCCGCAGTAGTAGGACTGGTGGCTGGTAGTACGACAGAATCTCACAATGCTCCAGAACTAGTAGTACAGATCCCAGGCCCTATTTCCATAAATACTTCCTCATTTGTATGTTTCCTCGCTCGGGGGATAAGTTGACCTTGAGCTCAAACGAGGTATCTGCTTCCCTGCTGCCTTTTCTGACTTTTAACAATTAGGAGGGTAATTGCAAACCTGACCCTAAAAAAAAAAGAATAAGAAAAAAAAAATCACCATCCATGTGCATCTTCATCGTCTCGCTCATGTAAACCACCGCACTCTGCTTCCACGCTGCAGATCCCTATGTGAAGGTGTGGCTGATGCACAAGGACAAGCGTGTAGAGAAGAAGAAGACGGTGGTGATGAAGCGCTGTCTCAACCCCATCTTCAATGAGTCCTTCCCCTTTGACGTGCCCGCCCATGTGCTGAGGGAGACTACCATTATCATCACCGTCATGGATAAGGACAGACTCAGCCGCAACGATGTTATTGGCAAGGTAAGGTTTCACAGGTGCCGTCTGTTCAGGACGTGCAATCCTCCTTGTTACAAAGTCTGAAACTGCAACTGATTAAAAGTACTTTCAGGGAACAAGCAGTCGCTACCGAGGTAGGTCAGCTTGTCATTGCAGTTTACTCTGTGACCACGGCAATGACAGAGAGCACACCAAGGAAGATAATACAGTAATTAATTAATGAATTATACACTCATACATTATTCACCAGCAGCGAGCAAAACAATCAATAAGGAGAAATCATCCAGGAGCATAATGAGCTTCAGGCTTTGATTATCTGGTGAGGATCGTGTCACCCTGCTGGCCGTTTTCCTCTTAACGGAAGAGCTGGGTTTGTTAGCTAATAATTCACTCTCTGGGTAAACAGATGAGAAGACTGTTACCACTCTCATGTCTGTCCTTTGAAAATATAGCCACCAGATGGTTTAGTTCAGTTTAGCACACAGACTGAAAACTACGTGCCATTTTGATGTGGATTTATGTGCCAGACTAATTTCATGGCGGAGCTGAGAAAGTAACAGGTTCCAGGCAAAAAAAAAGGAAAATTTGCTAATTTAGGCAACAGCAAAATGCATTTTACCTTCATCAGTTATGCAGCCTGTGTGAAAGCTGAGACACTGTTCTTTCTTCATTTCATTAGTTTCCAACTCATTGCAGCTTTCCAGGCTCTCCTCGCATGTGGTGCATGTCAGACGTTGCATGCACAGAACGGCTCTCTTTGCAAAGGTGTTGTCATGACTGAGTGAAGCCATGAGAAACTTGAACCCAAAATGCATGTGAGAATGACAAAAAGCCATTACTTTAAGATTTATTCCCTCATCAAGCCTCTGCCTCTTTTCTTCCCCTCTCTCAGATCTACCTATCGTGGAAGAGTGGACCAGCGGAAGTGAAGCACTGGAAAGACATGCTCGCTCGGCCGCGCACTAATGTCGCCCAGTGGCACGCTCTCAAGGCCTGATCGCACTACCCAGCTTCCTTCATGGCCCCTTCCCGTCTCCTATCCCTCCCTCCTCCTCCTCCTTCTCTCTCTCTCCTCTCTATCTCTCCCCTCCTCCCACTCCTGTCCTTATGCACAAGACTGACTTGCTGCCAGGCTGCGAAACACGGGTACAATTAGCCATCTGCTCTCTTAAACCTTTAAAGTCCTTTTCTCTTTTCTTTCAAGGATCTCAAATTTTTTCTCCCCGACCCGTCTCTTGTGTTCCCTCCTCTCATACAGCCCCATCTCAGTTTCCGTGTCTCACCCCTTTGCCAATGGTTCCCCTGTTTCTGACTGTCTGTATGTCCGTCTGTCCGTCCTTATGCACTTTGCCTGTGGAGGTCTGATAATCAATTCCTTTGCCGATCCCTTAGTTTTGAACTGCACTGCAGCCCCTGACCCATACAAGGTGCCAGTCCCGTGGGATCACAGAGAATCGTCAGTAATGATCTAATCTCATATAATCCTGTTGTATGAATATTCCAGGTATACAATACTATACAGTATGTACTGTATGTACATATACATATGAATATATTAGGTGTATAGATTGGCAGAACTCCCCTATACACACGACTAGTATACAGTATATTACTCATAGGTCGCCTGCTGTTTCCCATCTCTTCCGTCTCTTCATTTGCCGCCTCGTCCTTGTCATCTGTCTCAAGAGTACTATATTCCCCCTCCTTTTCAGTCCTTCCTCCTTTTTACTCAAAAGTGGTTTAATGTTCAGCTGAAGTTGTTGAAAGCAATCAATATATGGTGTGTAATGAAACCAGCTGAGCTCAAGATGGAATTGTTGATACCGCTGTCTCTTCTCTCCTCTTTTTTCTTCCCTATGTCCCTTTTTTCTCTCTTCTTTTCCCCCTTTATTGTTCCCAATTTCTCTTCCCCTGGCACAATATTAGCGAATTCCTCCCCCACTCCCCCTTTCTGGACGTCCCTCCCCCTCTTCCTCCTCGTCGTCTGTGTGCTGTGGGTGCTGTGCTGTAGCTCCGACAAAAATAGAGATTAAAAATTAAAAAAATAAACTGAACTTTCCGAAGCTGGGAAAGCAGGGACACGATGAACTTGTGAAACGGAGCGCTCCTGATGTTTTCCAGACAAAAAAGCCCCGACACGGAGAGAGAGAAAAAAGAAGATGAAAACACAAACAAGCAAACAGATCCTTCCTCCCCCTCAAGATACTATGATGTCATTTTTCACAGCATCACCAACTGAGGAAACGAGTTTAAAATCTTCTTCCAACGTTAAGATGAGAGCAGAGGCAAGAGGCCACGTTTGTGCAGTTTACGCACGTGCACGTGGGTTTGCGTGTGCACACTTCCGTCTGTTTAATGATGCTATGAATTCTTTGTGCTGCCCCGTGCTCATGTTTTACGCTGACGGGGGTGACGATCTCCGTCCGTTTTGACTGTGCGCTGTGCTGTGGTGATGTGTGCCTGTTGGTGTGCGTTTGTTTTCACAGGAGCCGTTCTGTAGAAATCTTCTCTTTTCTCTTTCTCATGTTGCGCTCTTCTTGCTCTTCTTACTGCCATTGTTTCCCCATCTTCTACTGCCCTGCCTTCTGAACGAGGGCACGGGGAAGTTCTATCTGCACTTTTTGGAAATGTAATAACAATAATAATGATGATGATGATTATAGTGATGGTGAAAAATTAAGGGAGGAGTGTCTGAAAGGGCGAGCAGAAGTTGGGGAGAGGTGACGTCTTCTCTGTGATTTCAGGGCTTGGAGATGTAGGTCATAGAGGATGCAGGGCTCTCATCCTCCTCTTTTTATTCTTTTTTCTCGATGTACGTGCATGTGTGTGTGTCAGCTACCACACTCCTGGTGGCAGACTGCTGGTGTCTGAAATGTCAGGCCGGGATGGAGATATCAGGCTTGTCTTCTTGTCACGTGGAAGCCGGCCAGCACAGCAGTGCTATTTCACAAAGCGTCAATCAACAACAAGAGCGTGATCAGAGCTCTAACCAACAGTCTGTCCTGTATTCCTCGCTGAACAATTGTTAGGCATCTAAAACAGTCATTTCGATGTGCATTTTTCCAGTTTCCACACTGGAAGAAAAATAATAAAACAATAAAACATTCTTTGGGTTTTTGTTGCACTTCAAAGGAAAAATGAGCAAGCGTGTATCACAGACAATAGGTGTGATATTAGACAATGGCCTGATCTGCCACCGTGAGATACCGTAGAAGCAGATTAGACATTATCTCTTCACTGAGTGCTAGAGAGTACCATAGAGTGTACCGTTGCCCTCTTTGCCCGGCACATTCAACACAGCTCGATATTTCTGTAACGTAGATAAAACTGTCATAAAGCAGCAGCAACTGGAAAAGCTGTCAACTATTGAGAGCTACTTAAAAAGAAATCTGCTTTCTTAGTGTGCTCTTTACTACAGCCTGCCTGTGTGGGGGGGTTTTTTTGCATTCATGAAGTCTTGACAAGCGAATCACGTCACCTGTTCCTTTCTTTTCTTCCAGCGGCTTAATTTTCTAAATGAAAATCCTCATTTCAGGAAACTCTCAAGTTAAACAGACTTACCAAGTAAATATAATCAGTTTGTTTCTTCGCTGAAACGTAACCATTTTCGTAATGCAGCGTGAGTAGTTTTGAACTAACTCGGCCTCATCAAAAAAAGCTGTGGCCCCTGCAGTGGATTTTATTTCCTCGCATCATGCAACAATTTGACAGTATCTTGCATTTCGGTGTTTATTTTCAGTTATGCCAACCAGTTCAACACTTGACAGACAGTATGAATTTGCAGTTGTGTAAGCGTGCGTTGCTCCTTGTCCAGTAGCTCTCTAAGCTGGTCTTGGGCAGCGCACGGTGTGCTCAGTGTGTTCTGGGTAGTGTGGTTTGTGTGAGCCAGGCTGCCGCGATGCGCTGATCCAGTCCAGCAACCTTCAGAACAATTGGCCAGCCGTGGAACAGGGCCCACTGTTTTGACAGCCACTGCCTGCAGTGTCACAGCACATTACACTCCCATTAGGTGGTCAAAAAGGAGAAATATCTGCCTCCTTGGACCTGGGGGACTCACGATTTGCAGAGGTATCACTTGCTAAGAATAAAAGAAAACGTGGCAGACTCTCATTAGTTACCATGTTTGTGATGGACAGGGATAGAGCTCGTCGGCGAAAAAATGGAAATCAGTGGGTGTTCGCTGCTAAAGCTGTGAAAAGCACACGTGCAGGCGATGAGTCAACACAGTACCTCTGCTATTTCCTTTTGCCAAGATTCCTCGTTGCTCGAAAAGTGATAAATTGCTATGCTACAGGGGCTTACAAAGCTTAGTCATCAGTGACCCTGTAAACTTGGGGATACGGCTTTATTTATAGAAACATGAGGCACCGTGTAATGCCTCTGATCCTGACAGGTAGGACTGGAAGCTGAAAGGATACAGGGTCAAGCTTTTAAAACTTACAGCTTTTGAATACAGATTATTTCTTACATGGAAATTCAGCGTGTGACATTTTCTCTTTTCCTCAATTGGTGGGCCAGCAGATAATTAGCCAGAGACACTTTAATACTTTCTTTGAGCACGTTTTAGCGAGCGAACCGGAGACGTGAAAAGCTCAACATGCAGTTTAGTCATTTTGGCGTTACTTTCTCGTTTGTTTGTACTCCCACAGACCACACTGGTACATCGGCGAAAATTAAAAGAACCGCAAAACAACAATTTTCCCCATTTAAATCTCTGCTTTTGCTTTTAAGTGGTAACAAAGTGAGCTTTCATCATATCGCAAAGCTGTTAAAAGAAAGAAATGTTTCAGTACAAAATCTTTCATTTTGATGTGTTAGATGAGTTATGCATAAATGAGAAACTCACAATGTGTTATGTCTCACAGTGAGTTAATTTGAGTGAGGTTTTAAGTTAGTAAGAGGAAAAACATTAAAAACAGCTTCAAGAGCCTGTCATCAGTTCAAAATCATGTTTACAAGCCATTCTCATAAAGTTGGAACAAGTCACAACGTACCGAGCTGATAAAACACTGTTAAGCGTGTTTGTTTAGCTGCTGAAGAGGGTCTCAGCTCCCAAGCAGAGCATTCTGTTTAAACCAAGAGCTTGATACTTGCAAATGTTAAATATGCAAAGAATTAGACATCAATTATCTTCATTTGTGTCGGTTAAAACAGAGTACATATGCTGGTAGTCAGAAAAAGAAAAAGTCCATAAAGTTAACCATTGTTTCTACATGTGACAAGGAAAACAAAATCCAGGTGTGACTGTAATATTGGGTGTGCACAGCAGTATCCCAACTATCCAGGAAGTTGCTCACTCCATTAAAATAACCAGGAGTCCTGAATATTATGTTGTCTTTGCCAGCAGTCAAACAGCAGCACTATTAAAATGGATGCTGCGCTCAGAGCCAAACAGTATAAAGGAGAAAGCAATTTCCAAATCCTAGTTTTATTATATTGCCACCTGTCTCACATCTCTAAACTTATTGCTTTTTGTTGGCACCAACACCGTCGGCAATGACCTTCAACAATCCTAAGCTCATGAATGCAGCATGGCAGCGGTGCAGATGCTCCCAGTCGAGATTCTTTCCTTTCTTTTTTTTGGACCAACTTCTCTCTCTGTTCTCGCTCTCCTTGTGTTCAGGCTCGGCTCCGTCTTTCATCATCTCTTCATTCCCTGGCGGAGCTGGCGGGTAGGTGCAGGTGTAGATAATTAGTGTTTGATTACAAAGCTTCAATTCAAGATAACTGACACAACCATCGCTGACTCCAAGTTTCCCAGAGAATAAAGGCTCTTCGAGGGGATTTTTGTAGTTAGTAAATTTTTCTTTCCCTCTGATGTTTTTCTTTCTCTCCGTTTTAGTTAAAGTCTCATTAACTGTTGGAAAGATGTTCTTGGATTTTTGTGCAGGCGTTCATGTTGTCCTCAGGATGAACTGGAACCTTTTTAGGTTCTTCTCTTTTTTCTGTGGTATTATGATTCAGTCAAAACCTTTTTAGTGCTTTGGTTTATGCCCGAATACCTACAAAACCGAACACCAGCTGTGATTATGCTTATTTAATATTAATTGGTAAATTCTGGCATGATAACTAAACTGCTCATTACTCATTACTAAACTCCCATTTAACAGATATTCAGTGGCTCACTTAAGAGTAAGCAGTAAATTTAAATTTTGCCATGCCTGTATCACATCATTATGCTGGCATGCTGATGCCAGCCTTTATTGTCAAGGTAGAGTACGTAGGAAAAGTCTTGAGCCGCCCCTCATTTCTTTATATTTTGCTTACTGTCAGCTTGCAGGTTTTCATAAAGTGGTCTTGAGTAATAGTTCTCCAGGCTTTCTGAAGGTCTTACTATGATTTTCTCTTGACATTGACTACATTTTCAACCATTTTCAGTCCAGTTCATAACCCTTTTGAAAGGAATGTTTTTTTTGTTTGTTTATTTGTTAATTCACTCATCACTGACCTATGAGTCATTCAAACATAACAAGGCACCTAACTCAAAGGATGAATCAGTGTTGTGTCTACACAGACAACTTAGCAAAGAATCAATTTTTAATTGCATCTTTAGGCAGTTTGTTACTTGCAAAAACACATCAATTTACAATTTCTTTAGTTGATTTTAAAAGTGGGAAAGAGGACACAGTTTGACAGGAATAAAATAGCATTCTTGTATCAACAAGGTGATTCCCAAAGAGCTATAAGACATAAACTTAGTATCTCAGAATGGTGTGCTGTGTGTTCTTACAAAGTGTCAAGGTGCCACAAGAAGAAGTGGCAGGCCTAAAAAACTATATGCAGCAGGATCTGTATCTCCATCTACTGCTCACTGAAGCCTCATCAGAAATAGTCTGATGAGGAAACCAATCTGAAGGAAGGAAAACTGAAAAAACTGCTGAAGAATGAAAAATAACAAAAGAACTGGACTGAAAATCAGTGACAAAAGGTCTTATGGATTGCTGAATTCAAATTTGAAAGGTTATCATCAGAAGTGGTCAGGAGAGAGGTACAAGAGTGAGTCTCTACAAATATTTTGTAAAACACAGTGGAGGCTCTGTCATGGTTTGGGGCTGCATTCCAGCCAGTGGTGTTGGGGATCTTTTCAAAACTGATGGAATTGTGAACGCAGAAAAATACTGTAAGATTTTGATCCACCATCTGGAAAAGATCTGATTGGCAACGGCTTCATCTTTCACCATGACAATGATCCCAAACACACTGTCAATGCAATAATAGCAAAGCTGGATACAAAAACACACAATGGGTCATTTTTGGTTATGGAGCTCAACGTTTTTGAAGCAGGGTGGGATCGTCTTGACAGAGATTCAAACAAAAGGCAGCCAACATCCAAAGAAGAGCTTTGAATGTCCTTCAAGAAGCCTGGAGAACTATTCCTGAAGACTACTTAAAGAAATTATAGGAAAGCTTGCTTAGTAGGATCCAGACTGTGTTGAAGAATAAAGGTGGTCATAACTGTAATACCTGTTTTTGCCTTATATACTATATTTCTGTATGTTTGCATGTTTCAGTAGATTGAATCTCTAGATAGATTTTTTGAACACAATATAAAGAAATGACTGGTGGCTTAAGACTTTGCACCATATCTTTTAGGTTTTAGAGAACAGACCGGGATCCTCATGGTGCTGACTACTGCAGATTCTAAATTTGGCTGTAGAGTCAGGATTATACTCGCTCGCAAACATAGACATGAACAACTGAGGACATCATGGATGACTGGTTTCCATCTCTTCGTGGTTCCCTTTTAGTTTGGTGCTTGTGCCCATCCTAGACTTTATATATCTATCTACTGTGTCCTCACCTAATTGTTGTGGAGTCCACATTTTGCTACAGGAACATTAGCATTTTGGGCCATGTTGGTTTTTGTAGACAGAAGTGATCGTACGTGGAAGACAGCATGAAATGCAAAGATCTGAGCTGAGGCTATCATGCCTGGTTAGCAGGATGCATACACTCAGTGACCAAAACCGAAACGGAAACACCTTGAACAACAAGCCATATTATTTCTCTGATAATTCCACAGAAATGCTCCTGAGGTGGAGTTCAGTGACTCAAATTAGTTGAGATGAGCTCCCAGCTGCAGGGACACCTGTTAACCACAACAGCCATGCCCATCATCTTAAGCCTTAATAAACTCCAAATAGGTGAGTTTTTTAAAAAAGACCCCCAGTTCAGTAGTTATGAAGGGGAAAGTTAGCTTTAGCAACCGAAAGCATTTTTGTACCAATCATAGACTCATTCAGGTCCAGAGGTTGCTGCACGGCTCAGTCACATCCATTCGTTCACAACAAACTTTGGCAGGCCTGTGGACACCCACATTTAGCCTCACGTCCCCCATTTAATGACTCTCTCGGACCCTCTCGCACTTGCTGATGCGGAAACTAGAACACTGCCACGAGTTCTGTTATCAGCTTGGCGTTGTGAAGCATATGAGTCATTCCTGGACTCCTATCTTTGAGATGTTTATTCTTGGTTGTGCATCCCCAAATTTATCATTGTCACCAGCAGCCTTCCCTCCTCTGTTTACTTTCTAAATAACTTAAAACTTTATTGGCTGAAAGGGTCACATCTGTTTGCCAAAGGATTAGTAAGATATTCTTCTGAGCCTGATGATATTGTTTGTCCTTGTCATACTCTCCTGCACCATTTCTTATTCTTAAGCAGTTTTCCTTGATGGATATGGCTTTCTTCAGATGAGCATCATTGAGTCACTCTATTGGAAAGGTGCCTGCTTTGCAGTAGTTTTTACGATATTAGATTAAGGGTAGAGTTATTTTACGTCTTAGAGGACTTTAAATGTGTATGCACGGATTAAAATCAGGCAGTCGTCGTCATAATCTCATTCTAGGGAATCTGCAGTTGACGTTTTATTTTTCTGACTCATGTTCTGACAGCTCAGTAAGCCCTGAACCCCTCCAGGTCACCTTTGTCATTTGTCCAGTCATTTTCTGCGTGCGTCGCCCTGTACAGACAGACCTCGCCTCCCCTAACTCGCCCTTTCGATTGTTTTAAGCATCTGGTGAGAACCAATGTGACTTCTCCCAATCAGGGTTTAAGTAAGCATTATTTGAATAGTAACAAATGGATATGAAAAACAATAATGAGTAATAATATCTTTTATTTCTTTCTGTTCACATTTGACTGTTGGTCAGTGTGTATGTATGTGTGTGCTTGGTGTTCTTGTGTTGGGGTTTATTTCTTTCCGAAACCGTGAGAAGAAAAAGCTTTCTGTTTTTGAAAAACTTCATGTAAATATTGTTGGTGAAAAATTAACATTTGTTGTACGCTGAGTTTTCATTTGTCACTCGAAATGATGACGAAAACAACGATATTCATGAATAACAGTGGTGATGTTGACGATACTGAAGCTGATTATACCTGCCCTTCTTGAACAAGGGCTTTTGATGTCTGCTGTATTTTTGTTGGAGGTGTCGTGTGGTCAGGGCAAGAGAAACAAAGGGAAGGAGTGATACCCAACACATCCCGGATCCGCTGTAGCAACACTGCCACATACCCTTTACCCTCCCCCCACACCTCCAGGAAATTGTGCGATATGTGGCGCTAATCGTAGCCTGTGTTTCTCATGCCATAAAGCTTTGGTTGCGTTTGTGTTGCAAACACCAAAACCAGCAGCGCCCTGCTTTTCAAGCGAGCTGCACGCCTCCCCGTGGAGCCACTCTGTCCTGGTTTGCTTGGCATCGCATCTCACCCTGTCTGCTCACAGGCTTGGGGATTTACTGTAATGCCATTGTGTTAGGCAGGATTGGCCCTGTTCTGACACCGATGATGCCGTCTTCATTGAATTTACAGTCATTATTTTCTCTGTTGGAGGCCATGCATGGGGATGGGCATGTATGAGGACAGAGTGTATTCCTAGTAGAAGGACATAAACCATCCATCTGACCCCGTAAAGACAATTTTCATGCTGGTGAGTCAGCCTCTTATTCGAGGGTTAGACTCATGGTTAAGCACAAGTGACTGACATGAACTTGCCACATTATAGGCCCATCTTGTGCTTTTCCTTTTCTTTCTTTCTTTCTTTTTTTTTTTTTTTTAAAGAATTCACAGTCTTGAGGAAGAAATAAGAAATAACCTATATAGGCTATAAATGTTTGCCATATGGCAATAATTATTTTTAATCATTAAAAAAAAACACTTTAAAAAATAGGACAGACTTGTTTCCAAATGTCCAAAATGTGCCCTGTGCCTTCTTGACAGACATATTCAGCCCACTGCTTTATCAAATATATACATAAATAACTGCACAGGGCTCTAGTCCAGTTATTTTCACTGCAGGTGTCAGTACACCCACTTCCCTATTTTTCATATGTCATTGCCTTATGTATCTGGCTGGGCCTGTCGACAGTGCTGAGATGGAGCTTATCAGTTTCACTTTTAGGACTGTCTCTGCCAACAGACATGATATGGTACAGCAGATACTCCCAGCAGCCTTCTGCAGGAAGGACAGTGGATACAGTCTTGCCTTCATTTGTAACACCATCCTGTAGAGGGAGTCCCACAGGGTCAGAAAGTCCACAGACACACTAAAAATAAAATTCCCCTAAACCCAGATCCGTCAGAGCGCGCGTCTCTTACTTTCCTCGCTGGTTGTAAATAGACTTGATGCAGTTAGAGCAGCCTCTAACTCCTGCCATAATGTGGACATTTTTAATCAGGTAGGTAATAAGCAATACACTTAACCGATCTAATGCCATACTCCGAAATGTTACTGACAAAGTGTGATGGTGACTTCTTTGCGTTGAGGGATGTCGAGGGTAACACTCCTGTTTCTTCACCTCCTTTTCTCGACTCGCCGTGGCCCAACTCTTCAACAAAGAGTGCTCTAACTTAAAACACACAGTTGTGATGTGTACAATCTAATTTAATGTATTTATTTATGTATTTTTGCCAACTTTGTAAAGTGTATAAATATCTATAAATATATGAAAAATGACAGTACTGTATAGATTTTAGCTGCCTGGTAAGGTTAATAGTATATACTTGGTAGACTAAAAGAAAAAGCGTAGAGCTGTTCAAAAGCCAGTTATTGAGAAAAATGCTTTCTGTAAAACCCAGTGCCACTGGCTCTTTTTATATTCTAAGTTTCGTTTCTGGTTTATTTTTTTATTCTAGCCAGTCGGATCCAAAGTGTGTGTTCTTCTTTCCGTTTGTTTGTTAATCGGTTATTTTGCTGTTTCATTTCTTTTCTTGACAAAGACACAGCGAGGTTCTGGCAGCCAGGAGAGTGCGGTGGAACGCAGACTGGGACCCTGTGCAGTAGTGTGTATGTGTGTGCGTGTATGTTAGGTGTGTGTCCGTCCATGGTAGTGCTAGTGCTCTCTGTGCAGTGCCTCCCTCCTCCCTCCTCTCTCTGATGTAGTTTGTCATGTGATGCAGTGTGCATTAAGGTGCAGGATGACTGTGTTTTCTGAAGCTGGCAGCTGCCCCGTCTCTTCCACCCCCACCCCCTCCACCAATGTGTGTCTCCTCCTCATGTCCACTCTTGTTGTTTTTTTCCCACCGCACGTTTCAGTCGTCCGCCAAGTATAGATTTCCATTCTCGCTGCTCAATTGTTCATTTGCTCTCCCATTCAGCTGGTAATGTGCACACCACCGGAGTCTAATTTCACAGTAATCCGTGCTTCCCGATCTATCTGTGATCCTTTGACCATTAGCATCTCTCATTCATCACCTTCCACATTTCTGAAGAACACCTTGTTTTTCTACAGAGCTCTGTGGACCAGAGAATGATTTAGCACAAAAAAGAGGGCATGCTTATAACTCACCCCAAATCTCTTACCCCCAATCATACTTCTTTTTCTTTACCCTCCTGATGCAAAGTGTGAGGAGATGGGTAGCTGTCAGCTCAGCATGCAGAATCACAAAGCAGCCATATTCAAAGTCAAGCACAGACTTAAATCTATGTTTTGGTGGCTTCACTGCTGCCCGTTTGTAGCAAGAGCAGGAGAATAGCCTTAAAGATTGGACCAACTGCACGAAAAAGTAGTGGGATATGTGCATTCGT